ATTAAAGAGATGTGAAAGAACATTATCAATGTAATTGATGTTTCGAGAAATCGCGTTGGAGAAAAAGGTTTACATACCCTGAATAAAATTTGGTATCATCTGATAGAATTCTCAATATGTCTTATGTTTTGCTATGACTATAAACAAAAGTCAATGTCAAACATTGTCCTTTGCTATATTATTTTTAACCAATTCGGGATTTACTCATGGTTAGCTTTATGTTACTGTTTCACGAGTAAAGAAAAAGACATGGTTAAAAATATTGGTTCTAGATGAAAATAAAAACGCTTACAACGATACAAAAAATGTTGTGTACACTAAAGTCTTTCAAAAAATTTGGAATTAAAAAAGATTTTTTCGAGTACACTTTCAATTTCTCAAATATTATATTCTACTTTGTCATTGTTTTCCATTGATTAAAATTTGTGACAGAAATATATTTACTTGATTTTGGAATAAATATTTCATTGAAAAATTTCAAAATCGACAACAGTTTCGTTCGACCCCGTGCATCGCACGGGTCAAAATACTAGTTTCCAAATACAAGGGACTCATTATAATGATTTAAAATAGCTTATTTTATAAATAAAACTCAATTGTGCTGCTGTAATCAGATTTGTATTCGATTGGGTTAAAAATTTAAAACCAGCCTTCTAAAATTAATTTTTAAGTGTTGAACGCATTAAAATGGGAGAAAAATTTAAATAAGAGTAAAAGCATCTAGAAAAGTCAAAAATTAAATTACATGTTTACTATTCACATGGTCAAACTTAATTTACTTTCTTTCTCTATTTTCGTTAGTCATTTGATAAAATAAAAGTAAAACATGAGCAATGCACTTTGAAAACATAGATACAAAAACTCATACGCTATGTTCAGTTCAAGGAATTTGGAAGGAAAATAAAAATAATTTTCTCTCATTTCCCTCGCCAAAATGGGAAACATTTGATTTTCCATCCTTTTAGTATATTTTGTCTTCTCATTTCATTTTTCTTCGACTTTTCTTTTCTTTTTCTCTCTATCCAAACATAAAAATTTATTTTTTCTCATTTTCTTTTCTTTTCCATTTCAAATTTCTTGAACCAAATATAGTGTTAGAGAGAAATGGTTGCCATGCGTGGGGAAAACTCTTCACTCGGAGATCGACCAAGGTTTGGGGATGCTTTTTCTTCTAATGTTTTTGGCTAGGTGGATAATATCTTTCAAGACAATATTTTCTTGAACCAAACATAGTGTTAGAGAAATGGTTGCCATGCGTGGGGCAAACTCCTCACCCAGAGATCGACCAAGGTTTGGTGATGCTTTTTCTTCTAATGTTTTTGGCTAGGTGGAAAATATCTTTCAAGACAATATTTTCTATGGAAAAATAATTTCCAAAGAAAATTATTTCCATCCTCCTCCACCCGTATTTTTCATTTTTTAAAAATATTTTTAATTATTAAGATTTAAAAATTGATTATTAAAATATGTTTTAAAGATACTTTTAAACAATTTTAGCAGTATGGAGGCAGATAGCACAAGGTAGGATTGTTGGAATCAAAATTTTCAATAAAATATGTCCTCCCAACCAAACGGACCCTTAATTTGACTTCAAGGACGACATGCCAGGATGTTGGTAAGCGGACGTCTTGTGCAGAAGTAAGAAGTTTGGAAAGGCGGAAGTCCATGGCTATAGTTGCAAACCGATAGGACGCATAGGCAATGCGGGAACAACTATGATGTGCAATGGGAGTAATTTGAAGGTACACCGATGTATAACCAAAGCGGTTCATATACAACTCACTCTTTCAATGAACATGTTATTAATATAGTTACAGCAATGGAGAATCAAGTGAAACGATAGCCAATATTTTCAATTCCTTCTGGTATGAAACTCCCATGGACATGTTAAGAGATTGAGAAATGTAGGTTAAGAGAAAGAATAAACCTCTTTGATATGGTACACACCGGACAAAACTTTCAAGCTATATCAAATGGCAAGAGCAAATTCGATCCAAAACATCGTGCATCCATCAACGTAATCATCCGTTATATAGCTGTATGTGTATCACAACAAACCTGCTTCAAGCAGGTTTCTCCTCTTCAAAGTCTCATCTACCAGTTTGAAAGTCTTCTTTACAAGCTTCTGGTCAAGTGCTGTGGTTCTATAGATCTTAAATACCCGGTCAACACAATCAGGGGCGGTGTTCTGGAAATATGACTCTTCAAATTTCTTTTTGACAAACCTATGTAAAGATCATCAAAAAATGGAACGCCGAATCAGCACAAGCAGCCTATAACATATGGTTTTAGGGCAGATGAGTAACAACCATATGGAAAAGATGTTTTGATAACACAAGATAATAAATAAGATAAGGTAAATAATTGTCGATATAACGACACTTCAACACCCACACAAACGCGCGCACACACACAGTTCTAATAAGTATATTCTTATTAGTTTTTCCTGACGACTTTGATTAGGGGCTCACAGTCCATTGTTGGTTGCTTTTTAAAAAGCAATTCGACAGTTGATTGTCAGCCATTCCTGACTCGAGCCATTAGGAAGGGCTGATAGCAATGTATGTACATACTCCCTCACCCAGACGAGATGGATTTAGTTGTCCACTTACTAAAAAATCTCATTTTTAAGAAGTTAAAATTCTGAAATAAGTCCTACAAATGAGTTTGCAACTCATTCATGTGAACAATAATAATTTTCCAAACCCTATTTCTGGGATATTGTGGACAGCTCGCCATAACTTTTTCATTGAAGATCGATGCACAACTAATTCCGGACAAATAAAAACAAGTGGACTAGATACAGAATCCCCTCCTAGTAAAGTCTAACCAAAAATCCCAAATATAATCATTATAGCACAAGAAATGCTTACTCATATGCATTCTCAATCTCTTGCTTTCCCGAGGAAACTGGCTGGTAATCTTTGAACCACTCACATACATTGAGAGGCACCTAAAATATAGAGCATCAAAATCCTGCTCTATATTAAAGATGAATATATTAATCTTTTAGCTTACCTTTAGCACCTTCTTTTCAAACAAATCAAATTTGTTAAGAAACAACATGAATGACGTTTTCTGCAGAATAGAAACATCACATAGTTCAGAAAAATATTTTACACAGAAATATTAACAATTTAACACTATAACAAAGCAAATATATACAATCTTTAGGTTTGAAGGAAAATGAATATACAATTCAAATGGTGAATGAAGCTAGAGATAAATGAAACAGATATTATAATACACCTTAAAACATGGTTGTTTTAGAACCCACTCAAAAAGTTCTTTGCTCTCCATCATCCGATTCTTGTTTTCATCCTCAAATAGAGTCTGGTCAAACCTGACATAATAATCCCATATATATGCATGTGTGTTTGACAAATTGGTAATTATTATTCATCACATAATAATAAAAATCATAAAGTCCAAACTTGAAGTCTGTGTTAACAATATCTTTGATTTTATTTGATTGATGATACTACTCTAGAGCAAATAAATGCCTAAGTCCCAAAAAATCATGATCCTCCAAGCAAATAAATAGGCACCAATGGGTAGATAGATCTTACTCACTAATAGCAGCACAAAATATTACTGCTGTCACACCCTCAAATAGATGGATCCACTTTCTTCTCTCATTTCTCTGACCTCCAACATCAAAAAGACGGTATACCTCACCACTCTTTTTATTCTCTCCAACTGGGCTGCAGATATTTTGACAGTTAATAAGACATGCATTGGACAAACAAAAATACACACAATAAATATCAAAATTTTAATTACACGATTAACAAGCAAAGATACATTGAAGACAGATGAGCATCAGGACCGGCCTGTTTGGACCAGAACAATCTTCCAAAAGACGAGCATTGTTCAGGAGGTCTAGTCCATTTCAATAAGCAGTCCAGACCTGTGTGGTCTTCAGAGAAAATAAGGGGACCCATTTGAACCGGGTAGTCCAGTTAGGACTGGTCAAACTTTAAAGTCTGGCTTGGACCATCCTCCATCCAGACTTTATTACTATATTTTTCATCTTTTCTTTACTTATTCACTTTTTAACAGCTAAAAAAAAAGTTACTTCATTATCTCCTTCGTGCACCTTTTTTCGTTATTATCTTATTACAGAACAATAATATATTCCTGAGATGGAAGCTCTATTACAAGCAAGAGAAAATGAAGCTTGATTTATATATTTTTTTTTATTTGAGGTTTTAGTATACTATATTGTATTTATAGATTTGTAAAGAAGAATGTCAAGTATTACATAAATAGGATTGATGTATTTGTATATAGATATGATTTAAAAAACACAGCCGATCTTTTAAGAGTAGTCAAATTCAAACTTGTTCTGGTCTAGTGCTCCACCTAATTTGAAGGATTCCAAATGAGACCTCCTGTCTTGGACCAAACCAGTCTCAAGGACTACATCCGATCTGGTCCTGGACATTTTTTTCAGTACCAGTCCATTTTATCCTCCCTAATGCGTATTAACAAATAAAAACACAAAAAGTAAAGCTTGAGTTGTGCACTAAGATGAGAAAACTATTTGACTTGTAAGATGAGAAAAGTAAAGCTTTATTACCAAATAGTAGCCAGTTAATAACTTTATTAACAAACTAAAATCGACTCATTTACTGATGAAAAAACACAATAACAATTAAACAGTTAAGTGACACTTTAATCCAACATATGGTAAATGTTTTTGTTTTGTAAAACATAATAACAATTAAACAGTGAACTGACACTTTATGGTAAATGTTTTTGTTTTGTACTAGATAAGGTACATGATTTTTTTTGAGTACGTGATTCAATGTAGGATCCAACATGAAAATATGCGTTTAAATATCATCTCGCAGATACGAGAAACCATTTGGTACAATGTCCAAAAGTTTTTTAAGATGTTAAAAAGTTTTGATGTTTAATTGATTCTTTATATTATTACTGTTAGTACTCTCTCGGTCCCAAAAACAAGTTTACCCTTTCCTTTTTTGGATGTCCCAAAATCTCCTAAACATTTCCATTTAAGGCATTTACTATGCATCTAATTTACAACTTTACCCTCAACCACCAACTACAATTACTACCTTATTACACTTTTTTACAGCTTTTTACCTTAAAGTAGGAGAAATTGAGTAATTTCCTTTATTTTCTTAAACTCTGTGCCATTCTCAAATGTCAACTTGATTTTGGGACATAGGGAGTCAGATTTTTATAATAATTGGATATTTACAATCTAATCTAGATGTTTTGGATCTTAAGATTGAAGTTTACACTTCAAACCCCTTAGGCTTACGCCTTGCATGAGACACATCTCATGTACGCAATATGGCATTTCAAACATTGTTGGGCTGTAAATGCAACATTATACCAAAGGTTTAACAGAAACATCCTCCAAAAACAATGTTTACTAGGGTAAAGCTGTGTACATCTTGACCCCTACCCCAATGAAGTTGAGTTGGAAATTGGGATTATACTTTGTTGTTGTTGATGTAGGTACAACTAATGAGGGCATTCCATTTGTAAAAACAAAAGCAGTTAACTAGACTTCTTTTACTTTTTACTTTTTAATTTATTCCCTTGAAAGACAAAACATGAGAGAGAAAGTCACCTGAACTGGATTTCCACAACGCCAGTTGTTCGAATACGGGCGTACAAGATATCATCCTTCAAAATAGTAAAAATAGGATACATAAAAATGCTGCATGATAATTAATCATGCTTCATTTAGGAAAATGATGTTTTGCTTCGTACAATATGAAGAGGTGCTGAGCATACCTTCGTGGGAATATAATTAGTTTCTGAAAATCTTTTTAAATTTTCCATAAAATAATATGCACAATCTGGAACCTGAAGCTCATGACAGCGAGAATATGCTTCCTACATCATGAAAGAAACCACATCAAACACAACAACTTGTTATATCCACACAAAAAAAACCCAAAAGAGTTTATTTTCAATAGTGAGGCAATATAAACTCAACATGGATAAAACATAGTAACCTGTACAGCAGGGTCCTTCCACAAGGCTTCTATCTCATGTGCCATATCTTTTGTCAGGATAGGATAATCTAACCTGCCTCCAACTTCAGAAAGTCTTTCCCCAATTTCCTATGTATTGTATTGTTAGTTTTTTTAAGAGATGACGTACAGGAACACGCGCTCATTTTTTTCAATTCTAAGGGATTCTTCGCGAGCTACATAAATTCAATCTTACATGCCAACTAAATACTCCCTCCATTCCACAAAGACACAAAGAACTTCACAATTTCCATTTTTGGATGTCCCAAAACACTTCACAGCTCACACTTCTACTTTTTCCTTTGAAGGTAAGGAATATGGGGCCTACGAAACTTCTCTCTTTTTAATAAACTTCACCCAAACAATTTTTAATTTTCAACACTTTTCATGAACTCCGTGAAGTCAAACAATAAAGTTTTTTGTGAGACGGTGGGAGTATATAAAGAACAAAAGAAATTTCAACAAAAATGCATAATACATTATTATCCAAATTCCAAACCTTATTTTCGTCTGAAATTGCATACTTCGTGGAATCATTTTCATTCTGAGCTAGTTCTTTTACCCCATCATATAGTATCTGTTAATACATTGAACAGTAAAAAGAGTCCATCATAATTCATTAATTTACAGTTTAACAGAGCTAGACTGGTACATCAACCAACAATGGGGTTCTAATGATCTGTTTGATGCATACATCAAGCAGCACTAATTAGCATACAGCACTAACAAACAGCCTACTCAGTCAAGTCCTACAAGTTGAGTTTGGGGTGGGTGTAGGCAAACATTCCCCAACCTATAAACGGAATTGTCCAACAGAACAACAACAACAACAACAACAAACTATAAAATCCCTCACAAACTAGGGTTTGGGGAGGGTCTGAACTTGCTATTTCTACAATGTGGTCCTTCCGTCCCATTATTTTTTAGACAATGGGAAGTTGCACCAGAATTAGGTAAAGTAAAAGTGTGTAGTTGATATTGAAGTTAACAAGTAAGAGTAATTATGAGTCATACACGTTATCGAATATCGTACAGGACAAAATTAGTGAGAAAAAATGTTAAGAGGGTGGAAACAGTGAAAAGGAGAGAGTACTTAAATAGTCAATTGCATATCTCAAGTAACACCAAGCTAGTGTTTTCCACAACACAAAAAGGGAAATAACTAACACACCCTTTCTTCTAATTCATACTTTTATTGTCTGATAGATATTTGCATGGATGATAGGGATATAGCTCTTAAGCTCTGCATCATCAAAACCTGTTTGAAATAAAAGTTTTATCTGCAAAAAAAATAATCAGCACTAAGCGTAAACTTCAATCTACAAGAGGAGTAAAAGAACAAATGAATATATAAATATTTTGAAATATTTGCACTAAATAGTACTAAAACTTAAGTCATTTACCAATGTAGGACTTAAACATTTTTATTCCCTAAATAGCACTTAATAATGTTCAGAAGGAGGAATAATGTCCAGTGATGGTGAACATTTACTTGAATAATGACTAATGGATAATGACTAAAAGTGCTACATTGGGAAATAAAAACATATGATGCTATTTAGGGAAAGTCATATTTTAGTGCTATTTAGGTAAATTCCTCAAATATTTTATCATGCCTGTTTGAAGATTGTAGACTTCCCTGAATCTCCAGCACCTGTAACAACAAGGTGATTTAGTATGAGAGCAAGAAGCGCTTAACTAACAACATTCTTAAATCTTAAGCACAAATCATCTTCATATAATCCGTAAATAAAATAAATATGTTCACAAGAAAGAACAGGAGCTACTATAGTTTGGTAGAGAAGAAATCATCTACAGGAGAAGATAACTCCTCTTCATCTCACCAAGTAGAAGAAGTTTTTGAATGTGCTTCTCAGCCTTGGCTTCTTGTTCAATCCGCCTTTCTATCTCTACAGACTGAAACATGCAATGATTATGAAGGGAAATTACAATAGAGAATAGATAGGAAAAAAGTAAAATGAAAACGATCTCTAGGAAGAACCCATCAAGGAATATATTTTCCCAATAAATATTTACTTGTGCATTATCCACTGAATGAGATTGATTGTGCTGCTGGTGTTTACTGCACAGCATCCCCATTCTTAACACTAAAAGCAATCCAGAAATATGCAAAAATCCAACTCAAGACCTAAACTTCGTGCTTTACAACTCCTATATTTACATCATCCATGCTTCAGATTCACGGAAAAACAAGCTCTGCAAGATAGAGTGTTTACTGCATAACAGAGGAAGTGCTTCGATCAAATTGAATCACAGTCATTTGTACTCTGCGGATTTCTGTTTCTATCTATCAAAGAAGCGCCAAACCTTTAGAGAAACCGCGTGCAGGAGACAGAGACTGTCGGAGATGTGTTGGACCTTATACTTGGCGGATCCGTGACTGGAAACGTGGTCAAATGTCTCTCGGACACGGCTGGAATATGTCCGGAGAGGCGGGATGCGGAGCAGTGGACGTAGCTGAGTCAAATTACAGTGAAATGAGACGAGAAGTATGAGATCGGGAATGATGGCTACTCCAGAGGAATGATGGAGGCGACGAGCGAGAAGCTCGACACCTAACTGTGATATTTGCGGGATTATTCAGATCTGATAAGAGAGACCATGTGGAGTATTGGGGCGGCTTGCATCCGTTTGGAATAAGACTTTTTTAAAATTTGTGAGTTATTGATGTTTACTCCTTTTCTTTTTGTTAATGATGTTTTTAAAAATTTCTTATTTAGAGCAACTCCAAAGGGAAAAGGAATTGAGAAGTTATTTTGTTCATTTACCTTCTTAAAAAGGTAGATATATCTATTTATAAAATTCTTGACTCCAATGGAAGAAGGTAAATGGAGAAGGTAAGTATATTTTTCCCAAAATAAAGGTATTTTAAAGAAAGAGAAGAAATTGGTATACCTCTCCAAAATTGAGGAGGTAAATATACCTCTCCATAATTAAGGAAGGTATAATACCTTCTCATTTACCTTCCCCATTGGAGGATAAACTTATGTCTAGAAAAGGTAAATTTGACAAATATTGTTCTTTACCTTTTGTTTTACCTCCTTCATTGGAGTTGCTCTTATGATAGGAAAGCTTAGTGGAATACTATTATAAATAATATACATACTATACAAATGAGATGATAGATAATTTGTTCCTGCAACTATGATGGAACATGACGTAATTAGGTCATGTTCTCTTCACCTGATTTAATTGGAATAAGTTCTAATCTGATATGATTTGATCTGATTCCAATAAGAATAAGCAATGAGTAAAAAATAAGTTGGGGAAAACATTGTCTTAGTTGATAAATGAGCAACTCATATATTTCTTAACACTCCCCCTTGAATATTCATTTTTCAATTAATGATGGGTACTTCGTAAAATGGGCGTAATTTTGAGACTCATCTTAATTTTATGTACTGTCTCGTTAAAAACCTTGTCACGAAAAAATTTATGGGATAAAAATCTGATAGTACAGTGCATAAATTCCCNTGACACATGTCAATCTTGTGTACGGATTCTTCAAATTTCTTTGGGGGCAACGCTTTTGTAAATAAATCAGCATGATCCTCACTTGACTTGATTTGCTTGATCTCAACTTTTTCGTCTTTCTCAAGATCATGTGTTGAGAAGAATTTTGGTGATATGTGCTTTGTTCCGTCTTCTTTGATGTAGCCCCCTTTAACTTGAGCAATACATGCAGTGTTACCTTCATATATAGAAGTTGGATGACTAGTGATTACTTTTATACCACATTCGCTTTGGATATGTTGGATCATTGATCGCAACCATACACATTATCTATTTGTTTCGTAGAGAGCTATCAACTCTGTGTGATTTGATGATGTGGATCAAACAAATATACTACATCAACGTATCCAATAAGAGTGTCGTTGGCACCCTTGTGGTAGAATAGACCAAGGTTGATGGTACCATTGAGATATCAGAAAATGTGTTTAATGCCTCCTAGTCTGGGTTGAACCGTGTATGGCTAAAAAATTCACTGAGAATGCAATATTTGGTCGAGTGTTATTTGCCTGATACATCAAAGCTCCAATAGCACTCAAGTACTAAATTCTTGGACATTGAGAGAGGGGACAACCATCGGAGATGTGAGAGAATGTGCTTTATCCACCTAAAATCACTTCAGAACCTTCTTTGTCTAATTTGACTGGTGGACAAAAATTTCATCCTTCAAATGATCAATTCAAAAACCAATACAAAATTTTGTTCTCCTAAGATCTTTCATCTCAAATTCTTTCATAAGATATTTCACAGTGCTTTCTATTTTATCAGAAATCCTATTGATGTTTACATCATCAACATATACTACAATTGTGGCATAGCCTGATTTAATTTAGATCTACAAATGAAAACACATAGACTAATTGGATTAATTTTGTAACACCCTAATCTGTCCAGGTCTGCAGCCCCTTTCGGATTAACGTATTAATTTGGAAATCATAAAACTTTAAAACATTTCAACACTTTTATTCATCATAAATATTATTCAATACATAACTGTAGCAAAATACGGAGTGTTTAATAATAGTGCGGAAGCGATTTAAACCATGTTTAATAACAACGCAATTATTCATTTTAAAATCACAAATTCCACCACGACAGTCTCGCCCCTTCCGCTGCCAGGAACATGCCAATCATTCATTTTGCCTACCTGCGTGTAGCAAATAAAACACACTACACGCTCAGCGGTGAAGCTGAGTAAGCATATCTAAAACATCGAACATCCACATAAATTGAATCTCAATTCACAAACAACCATTTGATATCATGCACACAATGTATAATTCATTCATGATATTCTCAATATTTTTATTTCAATATCTCAACATTCATATTCAATATTCAATATTCAATATTCAATGATATCCTTAAGCTATGCTTAGTCTAAGGCCAATCTTGTTTTATGTTTACCAACTCTTAAACTAAATCTAGTTCAAGGTACTTCTATCCAACTCTTAAGCTAGGTCATTAGTTTAAGGTACATATATTCCGATTGATTTACCAATTCTTAAACTAGCCTTCGCTTAAGGTACAAATCCAGAAAACCGAACAGTAGAATACTAACTGTCGGGTTGGGTGGTATCCCCAAACCAGTTCCTCTAGTTTGGTTTATGGATCCCGTACGTACGTTTTTACCCAAGGCCACCGAATATACGTTTTATACCCGCAAGGCCCATTCTAATCAGAGGTCTGTCTTAGAGGTCTTCTAAGTAGCCTTAACAATATGACTCAATAATTCATTATTCTCAACTTAACAATTCATGATCGTCATTCAGAATATTCAACATCATTAATTTATCATAATCAATAATCAAACAATCATAAAATCTAATAACAAATAGCGGCCTAGTATCAAGTGTTAACACCCGAACTTACCGTCATGCATCACATAATGTTTTTATATGTCAAAACATCATTTTTATTGTACAAAATCATATTTATATTGTCTATAATTAGAGCAGTAATATTTTCGGAACAGGATCTGGATTTGAGGAAAATCGATTTTTTTATTTTTAAAATAATCAATTAATACCTAAAAATTGATTTTTATATTTAAAATAATCCATTAATAGCTAAAAATCGATTTTTATATTTTCAATAATCAATTAATTTCTAAAAATTGATTTTTATATTTTAAATAATCAATTAATTGCTAAAAATAGATTTTTATATTTTAAATAATCAATTAATTGCTAAAAATCGATCTTTATTTTTAAAATAATCGATTAATACTTTTTAAATCGATTTTTATATTTAAAATAATCGATTATATACTGACTTCGAACATCCTCATCTGGACATAATTCTAATCGATTCTTAGGAAGTAAATAATCGATTTTCGGCTACTGTTCATCATCATCTTCCTCTGATCAGTTTCGAGTATTATCATTTTTAATCACCAAACTTCAATTAAATTATATAGAAATGTTCTCCTAGGTTCATAGATCATTTTAGAATCATTAAAACATATTTTTAACATCAAATTTTAGGTTTATGATTCTTGGTTTTTCAAACATGTCAAACACAAAACTCAACTAAACGACTATTTGTGAACGTAAAAACAACCTACATGAACATTCTAGTCTTTAGATATATCTACGAGCTTACCTCGAAGCTTAATGGAGGTTTTGGAAATTTTCCGGCGAAACTTCCAGCGACTATATCTCATTGCTCCGGCGACCTCACACAAGGATGACATCACTACAGCACTCTACTCTCAGCAAGGAACGAGATAGAAGGAAGAATAAATTGTTTTGGTGAAGAATTGAAGGAGTTGGCTCTCCTTAAATAGCCAATTGAGGAAGGAAGAAGACACAGGTTTGGGTTGCTTCCGTAATTGAGCGGTGATTCTGATTTTGGAATTGGCTTAAGTGAAAAGGGCGCCTTTGGTATGTAGTCCCTGATTGGAACTAATATTTGGTCCTAGTCGAGGTACACTTTTTGGTCCAACTTTCTCCAAATTGAAATCCGTTTGCACCGTTGCGATCGTACAATTAAACTATATCCAACGATATAATTTTTATATTTATTCGTTATACTTTTTCCGGCATCATATTTTTGGATGTTTGACTTTGACAGAGTCAAAGTTGGTTTGTTTGACCTTTACTCACAAAAAGGGTTCTGTCATTTAATTCATATTGTTTATTCATGATTTATTTCAATAAATCGTTTCAAAGTTCACATCATAAATAATTTCTTCAATTATTATTGATTTGGGTCTGTACTCAAGTTCACAACCAAGATTACACAATTAGTCAACATATTGGATTTATCTCTATGAGACTTATCCTGATTGTAATATTGGATATCAAACACATATTATTTCGGCCCAAAGCCCAACAATAAATTATTTTAATCAAAACAAATTTGATTAATTGAATAATTATTCATTAAGAATTCTAGGGTATGTTTTGGGGTGTTACATTTCTCCCCTCCTTAAAAGAATTTCGTCCTCGAAATTCTTCTAAGGCTTAACGCTCAACATTTTGTTCTGACCACACTTAATCATGACCGTGTCATGTTTATTCAGTTAAGTCATGATTGTGTCATTATTCACACGGATACGTATTCCCAAATTGTCAATATCATCAAACTCGTTCTTTCTTCAAGAGGTTAGCAATCTTTAGATTAATTAAGGTATCCAACAATCCTCTTTGCGGTTTCCCTTTCAAATTCAACATCCATAACTAAAGTTTCTTTGCAGGGTATAACATCGTATTTTGGAGAATACTTGATATATTTTCCCATCACTTCGTTCACTTCATGATAGCTCTCATTATCGTTAATGAGTCTTTGCATTAATTCGCATCCACCTGTAATAACATTCGAGTGGCGTTTCATATATGTCTTGTCGTATTCAACCTTCTTCATTGATCAAGATACGTTCATGATAGCGACAGATTCAATTTTAATACTATGGTTAATCTCGATTTCGAGGGAAGAAGAGGACATCTTCAGTACGTGCTCCGGTTCACACTTCATAGAGTAAGGAATCTTACGAGTTCTTACACCAACATCGCATATAGGTTCGGGATTTTTGTTTGAATGATTTAGCTTCATACTTGTGACGTCATTTCTTATCTAGTTGTCGCACATACATTCCATTGATAAGGTCATAACAGAAGTTTGTTTGGTCAATAAGGTCATCGATAATAATCTTTAGAGATAACGTAATCGCATCAACCATTTTGTGGTTCACAAAGAGAGGCTCAACATAATATTCCAGTCAGAGTACCTTTACCATTGTGATCGAGTCACGTAGTTCACAGAGTGTAGTTTTCAAAGATCGGTATAACGTATCTTGATGAGTTAAGACAAGTTCCCAATGGTTTAATATTTTGATACAACAATGGAATTTAATCGTTGATCAGGTGGCCGGGATTTTCAAGTGTATAACCAACACAAGTTTGAGTATTTCAAGGGTATGAATCAGAGGATACAAAGACAGCATTTGCTAATTATTGTTACCAATCGTAGGTTTTCATCCTTCGATGTTTCACTCTTTGGAAATTACTCAAGAGGTCGTTGTCTTAGGACAATAGTCATTTTGACTTTTCGTCTCGGATTTGAATGTGTTTCAGGACAGCGAATCTAACTGTTAATGAGTCTCAATATGTCATATCGTCAGCAGACTGTAGTATTGGCGAGTGCGTTCTCGTCTGTAGGTAAATCGATTCCATTTTACTGTACGTATTTTGGCTATTGACAATTACATTTCCATCAATGGTCAGGTTTCAGAGACTATATATATCACAATTATGAAAAGAGTATCTCATGTTCTCACATTATGGAAGGAACTTCTCGAACACTTCCTTACACCATAAGATTCGTTGGTCTACTTGGCAGTCATTCTCTTGGTAGAAATCCAAAGTTTATGGCTACTGCGGTAGATTTAGGAAGGGAATTGTTAAGACGAAAAATTAAACTTGCCTATGGAGGAGGTAGTGTTGGCCTTCAAGGATCTGTTGCTTCAACAGTCTTTACCAATGGTGGTCTCGTTAGAGGTTTCATTCCTGGGTACATAGCAACACGACGTGTCTACGGTGTAGAGCATACAGTTTCCAGTAACTATTACAAATATTTTGAGATGAATCATGCCGTGGAAGCTTTCATCATTCTTCCCGGAGGAGTTAACACCATGGAAGGTTTGTTCACCTTGATCTCGTGGGCTTTTGAAGGGTTACACAATAGACCCATTGGTCTCTAGAACATTGACGGTTATTTCAATAACCTAATCAAATTTCTAGACGATGTGGTGAGGCAGAACTTCATTGCTTCCAGTCAGAGGAAACTTTTCAATTCTGCTTTCTTTGTTAGTGAGCTTTTAGACAAGCTAGAGTTTGCTAAAGCTTTCCCGGGTCCTGGGGCTAGCTACGACGAGTTTGTAAGTCCTGAGAGATTAGACTTAGAATTGCATCTCTAACATTTCCTTTGTAATCCAAGTTGCATTTATGTTGAAATTATATCGCCCACGAACATTACGAATTAGCCATAATTATCAATCTAAGCTGCATGGTCACTGTAGCTACATATTCTTCATCCTTCAATCTTTCACTATTAGTGTTACTGTTTTACATTTTGTTTTGTATTATCACCACGTCGCCACTTTCACGTCAAATGAGTCAATCGATCTGTCTTGTCAGCATCACTATATTTCATTTAGTCAATTCAGACTATATCGATGTTTTCGAAGAATAACAATTAAATCATTAGTCGCTACATAACAAAGCATCAGTTCATTCAACAAGGTTGAGCGGTCTATAGCTTCTAACAAGCAGGTTATTCAAATTTGACGAATAAGTCGTCCGTTCATAGTGAAGGGTGGCGATTCTTGATCGTCAGTTTGTTCAAGTTTCTTAACAGGGATTTGTGAGTATCTTGACCTTAAGTCAATCTTAGAGAATACAATGGATTCTGTAACACCCTAATCCGTCCAGGTCTGCAGCCCATTCGGACTAAAGTATTTAACTTGGTAATCGTAAAATTTAAAACTTTTCAAACACACTTTATTAATCCCAATAATATTTTTCATAACATATACAGTACGGAGTATTTAACAATATTGCGAAAGCGAATTTAATATTGACATATCATAAATTATTTCAAAACTTGTCACATCCATCCTGACAATCTCGCCCCATCTGCCGCCAGGATCACATTAATCTTTCTGTTTACCTGCGTGTAGCAAATAAAACACACTACACGCTCAGCGGTGAAACTGAGTAAGCATATCTAAAGCGTCGAACATCCACATAAATTGAATCTCAATTCATAATCAACCATTTGATATCATGCACACAATATATGGTTCAAACATTCATAATATTTTCAATATTTTATTCCATGGCATTTGATATTCAATATATATCAATAATGCTCTTAAATTATTCTTAATCTAAGGCCACATCATTTTATATCCAGCTCTTAGCTATTCCTAGTCTAAGGCAGCAATTCTAACTAGGCCCTTAAACTATAAATAGTTTAATGCAGAACACAAGAATCGATAATCCACTCTATGACTCATGTGGATTACGTACCAACCGAACAATGATTTGTCGGGTGGGTGATATCCGGTCTGGATCCCGTACGTACGTTTTAACCCGAAATATGAATTGGTCAAGTAGGTATATCTTAGAGTTCTTCTAGATATCCTTAATAATCATCATCAATTTACAAGTGGGTATATCTTAGAGTTGTTCTAGATATCCTTAACAATACGATTCATTAATTCATTATTTTCACTTTAACAATTCATGATCATCATTCAAAACGTTCATCATCATTAATTCATTATAATCAATAATCAAACAATCGTCATAATACATAATAACAAATAGCGACCTAGTCTTGAGTGTTAACACCCAAACTTACCGTCATGCATCACATAATGTTTGTATGTCACAAACATCATTTTCATTCTACAAAATCATATTTATATTGTGCATAATTAATTGGTATCAAAAATAGGATTTTAGAGCATATTTTTAAGAACATTTTCATCTGGAATTGAGGAAAATAATTTAAAATAATCAATTCATTTATAAAAATTGATTTATATAATTTTATATAATTCATTAATTCATAATAATCGAAATTTACAATTTAAATAATTAATTAATTCATTATAATCGATTTTTACAATTTAAATAATCAATAAATTCATTATAATCGATTTTTCCACTATAAATAATCGATTAATTCATAACAAATCGATTTTTACAATTTAAATAATCCATTAATTCATAATAATCGATTTTTACAATTTAAATAATCAATTAATTCATAATAATCAATTTTTATAATTTAAATAATCAATTAGTTCATAATAATCGATTTTTACAATATAAATAATCGATTAAATGGTACTGACTTCGAACCACTGATCTGAATAAAATTCTAATCGATTTTTAGTAAGTAAATAATCGATTTTCGGCCACTGTTCATCATCTTCTTCCTCGGGTCAGTTTTAACATTATCATTTTTTAATCACCAAACTTCAATTTAATTATATAAAAATGTTCTCCAATGTTCACAGATCATTTTAAAGTCATTAATTTGTAATTTTAACAACAAAATTATAAACCATGAAATTTTAGAGTCATTTGGGGTGAATAGAGTTGTTTACAAGAATGTGCGCTTTTCGCGTGTGTTATAACAGAATAAAAATCGCAAAAATAACGTAAAGAGAAAGGGAAGAAGTATACCGTGATTTATACTGGTTCACCACATCGTTGTTAGTCCAGTCCTCCGAGAGACTCTCTCAAAGGTCCTACTAATCTTCAAGCTTCAACGGGTGCTTAAAAAACCGATACAACTCGAGAACTTGAATCACACAAGCCTCAACTTCTTACAACAAGACTTGAGTCACACAAGTCTTAAAAACAACTCAAACAAGATTGAGATTTGCAACACAAGAATGAAAGCTCACACAATTTGAGCAAGTAGTGTGTGAAATATGAAAGCTCTATGGATGACAATATGTTTAGCACTCAACAAAAATATTTCTAACTCTCAAAATAATGTGTTTGAGGAGGAAGATTGAAGCAAGAGTTGAATATTGAGTAATGAAGGATTGGAGTGTAAGAGATGTATGTTTGATAAAGGAGGATGGTGGATTTTATAGGGTTGAAAGAAATAAACCCGTTGGAGGTAGGGAAGAGCTGATTTTGAAAGAAGTAAACATTGGGGATAGATCCAGACCAAGGGATCGATCACATGGAGTTAAAAATCAAGAAGGAATTTCTATCAAATTCACGGGGGATCGATCCAGGGCAAAAGATCGATCCAAAGGAATCAAAATTCGGAAAAGGATTTTTGACAAAGTCACGGGGGATTGATCCAACCCCCTGGATTGATCCTCCGAAGAAAATCATCAAATTTATTGGATCGATCCATTGCAATGGATCGATCATCTGATCGAAACTCTGCACACCGGATCGATCCAAGCAATGGATCTATCACCTGAAGAACATTTCCCAAACATAGAGGATCCAAAAACATGTGTGCGAGTTGAATGTACAAATTGGAGCTAAGTGGTTTGTTTTGGACAAGAAATCAGGGATAAAGAGGCTCACATAATCAAACAAATAATATGGGTTGAGATTAATTAATTCAAATTCAAAATTTGAATTAAGAAATGATTTTTGTAATGTAAAAGTTGAGTCCCAAAAAAATATTTTGTGTGTCAAATGGCGAACACGAAAAATATTTAAAATATATTTTTCTTACCAAAAAAAATTTGTGTATCTTTAAAATAAATTTTGACACACTATTTTGAAACTGACTCAGTAAACTATTTTTGGATAGAGAAAAAATAATTTTTCAAGTAACTCAAAAATTAAATTGTGAGATATATATATATATATATATGTGTGTGTGTGTGTGTGTATATATATATATTATCAAATAGAGGAGTTTTATTGATTAGTGGAAACGAAAAGAGGGGTTACAGTCTTGCAACAAAATAGTTCTGACATCTCTAGGGCACAAATGGAAATGAGCATAATCTTTAACACTAGAGGTGAGATGTAAGTCAGCCTTAGCAAGGGCGTCCACTGCGTTGTTGCCTTCTCGAAGGACATGGGAGGGCGTGATGTTGTTGTGGAAAATAAGATGGCCCAGGACATCTATAGGAAAGGTGGAAATGGAGTGGTGTGCTAACTTTGTCATTCTGGAGGTTATAGCCCAAGCATCCGTTTCGTAGAGGAAACTGGAGGAGAATTTCAAAGCCCACCGTATACCTTTAATGCCTACTTCTACTTCAGCTTGATAGGAGTTATTAGATGTGAGGTTGAAAGTTGCTGCACGAATAAAGGTACCTTTGTCATCCCTGAGTATTGCCGCACCACGCTGTTGTGAAGGAGTGTATGAGGCATCTACATTGAGCTTGAGGCGTCCCGTAGGTGGGCATTTCCATCTAACCATCCTGATGGGGTTATGTTTTTGAAATTTAGGGATCAAATGATGGTGGGAAAGTGATGGATCATTAAGTTGCATTTTACGTGGAGCTTTGATGGAAATCCATTGTTTGGTGTATAGGGCAATTTGGTGAATGAGAGTAGGGATGTGGATTTCAGTGGCCTCACCATGGGTAATGTCATTCAGTTTCTTCCAAATGTGCCAGGTGATGATGGAAGGAAGGTGAAGTCTCAGGAAGCCATGTAGATTTGAAGTGCTACGCATCCACCAGTTCATGAAGTGTTGCATGAGGGAGTGGGTTTTAGCATGTGTAATACCCCGTATCAAGATGGGAATGGGAAGAGCTCAAAATGATTGATAGTACTACTCATACCAACAAGGT